GTCGAATGGTTCTTGAGAAACTTCGAAAAAAGCAGCGTCATGTTCAAGTGGATTTTCTAAAAACTTTCTTTCTAAAAAGGTCATTTATTTCTCTCCAGAAACGTAAGTAAAAACTAGCGGTCTTGCTCATTTTGCTTCCGAGAAACATGTAAAACGGTACGGAAAACATGAAAGCTGGATCCGCCCCTGAGTTCAAACAGATCATGACTAAGTTCGATTTGCCACGAAATTGTCGGGTTGATAAAAGAATTTTGTATACCAACTACAACAGGAAGAAGAACGTTTCTGAAATACTTTTTACAAAAATCTAAACAAACATTGGACGCCATGTTAACTATAAAGGATTCCAAGACACTGGAAACACTATCTGAAAGTTTAAAATTCACGCATTTTTCAGCTTACGCATTTTTCAACTACTTTTAGGTCTAAAGTTGGCTACTTTACATGCGACGTCGTAGGCAATTTTCCTAGTTTTTCGGGCGACAACATGAAATTTTTATCGAATTACACAAATTGACAATTTTCCTGGAATCAGATTTTTCGGGTTTTTGTCAAGCAATTCATTTGCTACTGACTAGTTCCAACGGATCATGACTAAGGTCGATTTGCTACGAAATTGTCGGGTTGATAAGGAAACTTTATACTAAATACAAGGAAAAGAAGAAAGTTTCGGCAATGTTTCAACTTGCAGATTTTCAAAGAAATACTTTTTACAAACCTAAACAAACATTGGCATTAACTATAAATGATTCCAAGACACTGGAAACATCATTTAAAAGTTTAAAGTTAAATTTCACGTACTTTCCAACTAGTTTTAACCGTAAAATTTACATGCGATGTCGCACGCAATTTTTTCCGCAAGAATATTCATTTTTATCGACTTTCAAACTAAAATTTTCCTGCTTTCAGATTTTCTGAGTTTCTCTCAAATAACCAAGTCGCTTCTAATTAGTTCAAATAGATGATGATTCTAATTTCGACTTTTTTTTTATTATGTTTCATCTACTTTTAGGTCAAAAGTGGGCTACTTTACACGCAATCTCGTAGGCAATTTTGCGGGCGACAAAATCATTTTTTAATAGAACCACACAAATTTACAATTTTTCTGCTTTCATAGGTATTTTCGAAGTGTTATTTTCTGCAAAGAAGCTAAACAGACAATGGAATTTCAATAGGATCCATAAACGTTCATATGGGATAAACCGCATTTTTTGCATTTAACAACTACATTCCTTCAGGAGCTAAAACTGGCAAATTAACATGCGATAATGTAAAGAATTTGCTAAATTTTTTGAGCGTGAAAATGCTTTCGAGACAACGTTTGTGCAAAGTCTTAGACAAAAGCCTTTAGTAGAATTATACTTTAACACATTATATAACTATCAACTTAATTCTATTAAAAAATACATACAGAGAGACGGATTGTTAAATTTTTGAATTACCAAATCCATTATCTTTGCCAAAATATTGATAGGAATTGGCCACCTTACGCAAAAGAAATTTCGTGTCCCATTGCGCCAAAACAGTAAATATCCTTCATGTCATCAACCAAACCGCTCTTTTCAACCCACCACAATTTCAATATCGATTAGGCTTTGTTGTTGCTCGCCATTTCACAATTGTATAGTGTTTTTGTCAACTTTTACCAAAACCGAAGATTACTTAAAATGAAATGAGCGCCCGCCGTTTCGCAACTCTAATGAGATGTCATGTTTCGGAAATTTCGGGTTTCATTACACAGCCGATTAGATAATTTGCTGAAAAATTACTCACGACCCATAAAAGAGCAAAAAAACAACTCAGCAATTAAAAAACATGAATTGTACCTACACGGTTTCATAGCGAGAGATATGCATTGGCAAGTACGTCCCTGTGCATCAGCATCGTAAAACAAAACAAGTAAAATCCGCTTTAAAAACAATAAAAATCACACAACGTAATCTACGTGTATAAAAAATGCAGTCGGCAATTTTCCGACTTTGTCATGCATAGTTTTTTTCTGTTTCAAAAACGCCACGTCCTTTCGCAAGACAACAATACGTTCTGCAAGTTTGCATGAGTATCGGTTTTCGGCAAACTTGAAAAGAACAGCATGTCCGCAATGTAAAACTGACTTAAATCCCATGCATCAACCCGATTCAATGCAACACAATTTCGTTTTTGAATCTATTACCCGCGACTATGTAGGTAGGATAATTATAAGCCATTTTGCGTAGATTATTAATTGCTCCAACGTTACTTTGCATATTTTCGCGTAGTTGTTGCTGAAGGTGTTTTTCACAACTATTTTTTACATATTTTCACTCGATTTAAAACAGAGAAACGAGGAAACAAAATACCTTAATTGCCAAGATAAGATAGAAAAATATACACAAACAAACAAAATCAAAGCTATTGATTAATCACGAACCGATTATTCACCGATATTTGCCAGCAATCAACGATCGGTACTTAGATCTTTATTTGGATATGGAGGAGCGTCTAATGCGGCCTTCAATAAAATACAAAAATATACAGGGTGTCCGCCCCAAAGTTTCCCACATACACCGTAAACTGAATTTGAGGCACAACTTATTGTTTTCAGAACCGAATAAGTCATCAGTTGAAAATAGCAAACATTTTGCTGTATTTTTAGTTGAATTCCACTTTAACGTTTCAGGTTCTTTTTCTTTTCCAACGAACAAAAATTAATGGAAAACGCGTGTTGATTGGTATCAAACTTTTAGTAAGTGAGTAAAGTACAGTTAACAGCAACTGGCCAGTATAAATAAGGCGGTATGACCCGCACGCATTCTTCAATGTTCGCATAATTTACAAGGAAAATAAATCATTCTTATGGTGTTGTCTGCGACACGCGATATAATTAATAACGACAAGTTAGTTTACATAAAACTCGACGAATGGACACGATAGTTCAATTATATAAGCAAAAATACCCCAGTGAAACTAGATTTATATTCCTCAAGTTTCCAGTAAATTTCACTTCAATACATTTTTCGTAGCTGTGGAACCGAGCGAATGCTATTCCAAAATAACTCCATATTGATACAGCCGTGCATATTTAAATCAAATCGTGTAATAAATAACACAAATAGACGGGCACCAATTTCTTCTTCAGGCGTTTAGTTCTGGTTCAAAAATTAGCAATGGTCGGACAATTGTTTGATAAACCAAGTCGAAACGTATTTAACAGTGAAATTTGTTTCAATGAGTTTTGAATTGATTATAAGCTCCGGTTTTTCAGTTTTTTTTCTCCGGTGGGTTCCAGGTCAGTTACTTTTACCGAACGGAGGAAAAACGTTCCGGTTTTTTCAACCAAAAGATTCGATTGCGTTCAAAATTTCTCTTCCTCTTGATTCTTAAGTAAATGTGGGTCCAGTACTTTCAGCAAATCCCCAACAGG